AAAGGACGCGGTGCTGCAGCAACACCAGAACGCTCCTCTCCCATAACACTGTCTGGGTCTTCCAGTCAGCCTTGGTTTGCCACTTGCCTTGCAACATCGCCCAATATTGTCATTCCACTGTTCTGGGAGAATTAAAATAGAGATTTGCAGACCTTGTTGCCCAATGCAGGAGCAGATGTCTGGAGCAGAAGTCAGCACTGGTCGCCCTAGCATTGCCTTGCCAGGCCTGCTGCCATGTAGAGGGCACTGCAGCTCCACAGCTCCTAGTTTGGGGGCTGGCAGGGGAGGAATATAGCCCTGTTATTGCAGTTCTCACCAAAGGAGGATCCCTTGGCAGAGTCTAGTGCAAAACCCTCTGCCTATGCACCCCTTTGCCTTTGACCATTCTTGACTCCGAAAGTGTTTCTTCCTCCACCTTATTAGGGTGGGAAGGGGGGGGCCTGGAGTGGTTGGCTGGGTTTAACTAAGCTACTAATTTAGAGCAATTTGCTCAGCAAATTCTGTTAAGCACAATTAAGCTTATTAGCTTATGAAATTCATTACCCCCAGGGTGTAGAAATGTCCACTGGCTTGGTGGGCCAGTGGCTCTGCTTATCTGGAATACATTTGAACTCTGCCTGGAAAAGGTCACAGACTGGGCCTCTTGCATTTCATAGGCTTTTGGCCTCAGTGTGTACAATTTTTATTTTTTGCTGTATACACACATCTGCCAATGAGAGCGAACATTTTAGTGTGTCTGATGGAGTGTACCCTGCCCACAAGCACTTAAGTTGCAGTAGATATCATACGTCCGTCTTTAAGGGAAGCTGGGGGACCTGCGGCCCAGCCAGTGCTGCTGAGCTACGACTCCCATCACCCCCGACAAGTGACCCTGATGGCTGGAGCTGATGGGTATTGTAGTCCATCAACTTTGGGATGGGGTGCAAGATTGTCAGCCTTGCTATGCACCCCTCTCTGCCAACTCCTTAGGGAGAATGTTGAAGCGTCTATGGATCAGGAGCAGCTGTCCAGATGCGGCCACACATTCCCCCCATGCAGTGTCCCCCAAGCACACTTGAAGGTGTGGTCAGAAGGCTCTCAGTTGCACATGTTGCCACAAGTGAATAGCGCAACCCCAAACATACTTGCTAGGGAGTAAATTCCATTGAGCTTAGTGAGACTAATTTCTCACCCATGGATGAGAAGTCAAGCAACAGCTATTGGCTGTACTGTCTATGGCCTATTTTATTTTATATTTTATTTATTGCATTTAATCCCACCTTTCCACCAAGGAGCTCAAGGTGCAGTACATAGTTCTCTTCCCCATTTAATCCCCACAACAATCCTGTGAGGTAGGTTAGGCTGAGAGGCAGGGACTGGCCCCCAAGATGAGATTTAGTGCTGAGCAGGGAATTCGAACCCTGGTCTCAGCCAGGTGCTAGTCCAACACACTAACTGCTACACCACAATGGCTCTATGGGTATTGTAGTCTAAAATGTCTAGAGAGTAGAAGGTTGAATAAGGCTGGCCTGGGGAATAGGGAGGGGGAGAATGGATATTATATTTTAAAAAGAAAACAAACAAAAAACTTTATTTTATTTAAACAGATACCTTTTGAATGAAGCAGCATGTCAGCTGTCCTCATTTTTGTATCCCATCCCCCAAAATCAAGCAATTCTTCTAGAAAATAAATAAATAAATAAATAAATAAATAAATAAATAAATAGTTGTGGTTTAGTCATGTCCAACTCTTTGTGACCCCCCCTGGACCAGAGCACACCAGGCACCCCTGTCTTCCACTGCCTCCCGCAGTTTGGTCAAACTCATGTTAGTTGCTTTGAGAACAGTGTCCAACCATCTCATCTTCTGTCGTCCCCTTCTCCTTGTGCCCTCCATCTTTCCCAACACTAGGGTCTTCTCCAGGGAGTCTTCTCTTCTCATGAGGTGGCCAAAGTATTGGAGCCTCAGCTTCAGGATCTGTCCTTCCAGTGAGCACTCAGGGCTGATTTCCTGAAGAATGGATACGTTTGATCTTCTTGCAGTCCATGGGACTCTCAAGAGTCTCCTCCAGCACCATAATTCAAAAGCATCCATTCTTCGGCAATCAGCCTTCTTTATGGTCCAGCTCTCACTTCCATACATCACTACTGGGAAAATCATAGCTTTAACTATACAGACCTTTGTCGGCAAGGTGATGTCTCTGCTTTTTAAGATGCTGTCTAGGTTTGCCATCGCCTTTCTCCCAAGAAGCAGGCGTCTTTTAATTTCGTGGCTGCTGTCACCATCTGCAGTGATCATGGAGCCCAAGAAAGTAAAATCTCTCACTTCCTCCATTTCTTCCCCTTATGTTTGCCAGGAGGTGATGGGACCAGTGGCCATGATCTTCGTTTTTAAATTAATAAATAATAATAATAATAATAATAATAATAATAATAATAATAATAATATTTAATGGCATAGGAAGGGGAAAAGTGCAATTGGTTTAAACGACTCTGAGACTGGTTTGACTTTGGCATTTCTTGCAAGTGTGGAAGATGAATGATATTTTGTTTCTAAATGTTTGGAGGATCACACCGATGGCTCAGTGGTTTCAGTCACCAGGCAAGCTGGTTCCAGGTTTGCTGCAATGCAGGAGGTCAGGCCTCTGCTACTGCAGTCAATATGACCAACAGTATTTTTCTCCATTGTAGGACAGAGGAGGCTTTTAATGAGTAATAAGAAGGGTTTCAACCCCTCCCATAAAGACTACATAGCAAGAAAAGAAATAATTGCATTTCAAATAACGGTCATTGAACAGATACACTCTCTCTCTCCTCTGCCTTTGCTTCACTAACTTTCTTGGTGCTCTTTCTGTCCTCCTCCAAGTGGCAGAAAAGGGTGGAAGTGGGAATGGAAATGGAATGACTGCCCAAAAGGAAGCTAACCGACAAGCTTGAGCAGAAGGCAAATGTAATGCACTTTCCTGCAAAGACCTTGGTCCAGCCTCTCTCTCTCGCTCCCTCTCAGCCTAACCTTCCCCACAGGATTGTTCACATCCACCTGAGCTCCATGAAAGAAAAGCAGGATATTTGCAATGTAATAAATCCGCCCCATAGACCTACAGCCTCTACTGACACCCTTTCAATAGGGCTGGGGAAAGCTCCTTGCTGAAGCCTTGGAGAGCCACTGCCAGGCCCCGTAGACCAGGAGGAGAGAGATGGGCCAAAGGTTGGACTCCATGTCTGGCAGCTTCTGGTCTTCCTACAAGACCATTATAAACCCATTTTGTTACAACCAAATGGCCTATAAATTTTTGTAAACTAAAATAAAAAAACTCTCCATTTGCTATACAGAATACAATTTTAAGCTGCCTGGTCTGTCATGACTTCCTCCAAAGAACTATTGTGATTGCTGGCTTTTGTGAGGTTGTTAATAAGGAAGCCTTAGTCTTCCTCACAGAACTGCGGATGTGTCAAGTGATCTGCTCTAAGTGCTTCAGGGGTGACTTTAGGCTTCCTTGCACTGGTGCTGTGACAGAGATGATGCCTTGAGCCCCTTCCAGTTCTTGGGGTCCTGCACCCAGCGAGGGCTGGAATCTAATAGAAGTGGAACTAGTCAGATAATTTATTTGTAGGCCAATGACCTTAGCCAAACACTTAAATGTCCTCATCAGCATCCCAAAAGGAGCCACCAAGTTGCAATAGCTGCAACTAAGTGATGGCGCCTTCCACCACCACCCCTCACCTCGCTGCCAGGTAGGAGCTAAGCTGGAAGCAGGTGGGAAGCTGGAGACACGGAGACCTGAATGTGCTGGAGCCAAAGCTGTAACTCATGGAGAACCATCCCACACTGAGGTTGCATATATGTGTAAATAAAGACCACAGCCTCTGCTGACCTTCATTCCAAGGAAACCAAACCCTGGGTAAGTGCCTAGAACTCCAGAATCTTTCACTGCTTAGAGACAGAGAAAAACATCCAAAGAGCAGCTTCCCACCACGAAGTGCATATACGTCTATTCAGAAAGTGCCACTGAAATCCTGAGTGGGTAGACTTCAGCTTGTGCAGATGCCAGCCCTGGAAAAGACAGGTTCTGAGCACATCACATTGCAAAAATTGGCACCAGGCTTTCTCAGAGGCACTTCAAAGCATGAACCAATTTGTGAAAACTGCTGAGTAGTTCAGGGCTGGGGACCCTTTTTCAACCCAAGCGCCACATTCCCTTCTGGCAAGCTTCTAGGGACCACATGTCAGCAGCACATGGGGCCAGAGCCAAACATGCATGGAGCAAGGAATTCAAAATTTACCTTTGCACAGTGAGTTGATTCCTGCACACACCCCTCTCCATTACCCGTTTCATCCAAACAAGAGGCACGATCAAGGACACAGTCCAGCCAGACAAAAACGTTCAAGGAAGGGCAAAGGAGGTTCAGAAGGGAGTGTGGCTGGGGAGCAGGAAAGTCCTGAGGGCTACATAGAGAGCCTAGGTGGGCCACATCTGGCCCCTGAGCCTGAGGGTCCATGTCCCTGCACTAATTCAACCAGCACCCTCACTCTGCTCCTCTCTTGTCACAGGAGCCTCTGACACCACTGTGTGAGACCCTGGCTGGATCTTGGAGCCTCCTCACCTTCCGCAGGGAAGTGAGGAGGAGAGGGAAGATGCATGGACACACCTGCCCTGATCAGGGCCAGGAAGGCGGTGGAGCCTCCAGCTCCCATACAAGCTTCCAGTCTGACATGTGGCTGAAGGAGAAGCAGGTTTCATATAGTTCCTGCTGCAGGTCTGACCTGGGGAAACCCTTCCGTGTTAAGATGTCTTCATTCCACACAAACACACACAGGGAATGTTCATGTGGCCTCCATATTTGACGGCAGTGATGATCCTTAATCCCAGCCTTCTGATCCTGTGTGGCAATGATTCACACAGACTTGCAGCACTTTCTCATCAGGTATTTCTTCGTTTTTATTATTAAGGTCAAAATATCAATCCCAACCATTTTATCTTCTGCCGTAACAATAAATAATAATAACAATAACTTACTTTGGTCTGCAATGGCCTAACAAACCTCACCTCCATCCAGAAGATAATTTAACATTGGCAAGAGAAGTGGGGGGGGGATACTTTAAGTCTTGCAGATAGTTTTCCAGCAATCATGCAGGCTTGGAGGGGGGGGAGGGAAAGAGAGAGAGAGAGAGAGAGAGAGAGAGAGAGAGAGAGAGAGAGAGAGACAGACAGACAGACAGACAGACAGACAGACAGATCCCCCCTTCCAGGGCCAGCAAACAAATGTAAGGGAGTTCAAGATTTGTCCAGGCTCCTGGCATAGCGTGGCAAATGGCACCGGCAATTCCAAGACGATCAGGTTTGCTTCTTCCCAAGGAAGTGTGTTTTGTTTGTTTGTTTGTTTTAAAAAAGACAACGTACTCTAAAGCTACCATTACATGAGTCAGGAAAGTCATCCTAGTACAATCCAGAGGTATTCACGGAGGGTGGGGGCACGGAATCCCTTGGGCGTCTTGCTCTGCTCCCCCCCCGGTGTGCTGGAGAGGCGGTGCAGTCCAGAGGCGGGTGCCGCTTACAGCCATGACGGTTTAGGAAAGATCGGGGAGCTGGGTTTTAAATAAAAGATAATAATTTAAAGAGTTGAGTTTGCTCGGAGCTCAGGAGATCTCATGCAGGGGTCAGGAGCATGCGAAAGTCCGTGGGGAGGTGGGGGTGGTAAAAGGAGGCTCTTCTCACGTTTCCACCGGGCTGGGGACCATGCTGTTGGGGGTATCGGGGAGCTGAGAGGACAAGGAGGTCACGTCGCTGCCAGATGAGTTGCCCAAGGAGCCGGACTCTGAGAAGGAGACCTGCGGGGGCGGAGAGAGAGGGCGACAAGGTTGGGGATTAGTCAAGTGATGCCAATCTTGCAGCAGGAGTGAGCGGGGAACCGTTTTTCAGCCGGGGGCCGCACTGCCTTCTAGGCAACCTTCTGGGGGGACACATGCCACTGGGGCAGGTGCAAAGGGGGGTGACCTGAGCTATAGAACAAACTGTGGGAGATGAGCTGCCAAACCTAACAAAAACATACCGCATTTTTCGCTCTATAACACGCACGTAGTTTTTAGAGGAGGAAAACAAGAAAAAAAATATTCTAAACGAAATAGTGGATATATGATTTTTGTGGTTCATGCTGTGGCCACAGACATGTGATCTGACAGTGAGTTTGGAGTAGCCCAATGCAAAAATCCTGAGGATCCATGTGGATCCATGCTTTGTAACCACGGAGGAGGGAAGGAAGGGGATCCATGGATCCTCTGCACACGACTGCAGCAGATCCCCCCTGCCACCCACAGGCATTCGCTCCATAACACGCACAGACATTTCCCCTTACTTTCTAGGAGGAAAAAAGTGAGTGTTATGGTGCAAAAAATATGGTATTCTTGCTAGTTAGGATGAGAAGGCGCTAATATCACAGAGCTGGATTGCTGAGGCAGATACACGGCCCATAGAAACGCAGTTAGCAGAGAGGGCTCTGTGTGGCGCCATTTGCCCTGCTCTCCCGGAGAGGAAAGAACAGAGCACCTCCTGTCCCTCCCGCCCATCAGATGCAGACATGCCTCCCCTCGCTGGAGCTGGGTTTACTGTAAGTATTTTGCCTGCATAGTTTTTACTGCTTCCACTGCTGTGAACCAATAAAGTAAGTTGCTGCCTGATATTTTGTTAAGTGGGGTAAGAATGGGGAAGCCAACTTACTTTGTAGCAGGACTTGCTCAAAACAAGATTTTACAGCTCCTATGCTTTTTATTTTGCTTCCGAGGATGGAATTTTAAAACTCTGTTTAACCCACACATGCAGGTGCCTGGAGGGATAAACTGCAATTTAATTGCATTAAAACTCATCCCACGCAGACTCCCCAAAGAGTCTCAGCCAACACCTTTTCTATGGTCTTTGTAACACCAGGTGATGGTGAAGATGTCTTTATTCACGCAGGGAGTTTGGCAGTTTAAATCAGATTGTAATCTGCTCTATGCTTTCTCTGTTGCTCTTTCACTTTAATTTTTATTTTAAAATGATTTTAAGCCACCCAGAGAATATTTATTGATGAAAAGATACAAGAATTTATTTGCCCCAGTTATTTAGTTTTTAAAATTTAACTCCTAGGAGCATGTCTCCTAGCAGGTGAGACCATTTGTCCCTCTGGACTGGAATTGCTTACTCCTTCCGACAGCAACTCTCCAAGGTTTCAGGCAGAGAAAGCCTTTCCCAAAGTGTGCCACCTCATCCTTTTTAATATTCTTCTGCATGCAAAGCAGATGCTACGGTCCCCAACCCCCAAAAGCTCATCCCGAAAACAGATATCAGTTCATATTGCCAACCCTTTCCTTGTTGCCAGGGCAAACTGAAACACAGCTGAAGGCAGAATGAGAATCTGCTTAAAAGATATAGTGGGTTTGAATGATATCAAAAAGTGTTTTGGGGCAGCACTCAGCAACATTTGATGCCGCTCCCCCAGCCCTCATGCTGCCTTCCCAAAGCTGGCCAGGTGAGGAGGCACTAGGCTTTGGGAAGGAGGCATAAGGCTCTGGCAGGGTCCCCGAAGCCTAGTTAGGGCTTGCCCATCTTTGGGACCCTGCCAGAGTCTCTTCTTCGCACTTCCCTGAAGCACTCTTGCAGCTCACTGTGGGATATTTACAAGGCAGTCAAACCAACAAAGCATGTTTGCTAGACAGGCACATGATCAGAGCTGAAGCTGACAGAGTTTTCCTGTACTTTGCTAGGCAGAACTCTGAGACAGACGCTCCCTCTGTGCCCTGACGGGGGGGGGGGGTGGCATAGCCATGTATAATTACTCACAAGGCTTGGCACTTCCTCTTGGCTCTTTGGCCTCTCTTCACTCTTACCTCTTCATCTCAGCACCAAGTCAGAAAAGTGAGAACAACCTGCATATCTGAGCTCCATTGCTCAGACATGCTAGACTTAAGCTAGACTTAAGCATGTCTATCTAACTGAATTACCATTTTAAGCCTGTCTGAACAAAGCTGCTGTATCTGTCATTCTGCAACAGAAATGTGGAATGAGTAAATGTTATTTTTACCTTTTACAAGAATGTTTGTATGATTATTGTTTTAAGGGGGAAATACCAGGAGAACCCAGTCTGCCTTAAGGCATCCTGGGTTACTTAAACGAAAAGGCTAAAACTAACCTATCTAAGCTTCACTTTTAAGCTACAAAGGGATGCACTCTGCTGAACTTACAAACGCGAGGAAGGAAGGAAGGGTAATCTCTAATAAATCTATACATGTCTATTCACATCCCTACACGCACTTGGTATGAAAAGCGGGAGCACAATCCAGTGGAATGAAAAGGAACTGAACATGAGCATGTCCTCCTCATGTGCCGGAGGACTCCCAAAGGAATATTATGAGTGATAGAACCTTCTCTCAAACTGTCAGGATCTCCCAAACTCTTCATTATTCAAATGTGAGGTGTGCCACTATACATTTCCTAAAAGGACTAAAATTATGGGGAGAAAGTAGGGGGCTCACCATCTGAGCTTCATCAGTTGTGGCCAGATCACACTCACTCCCCAAACCCATGAATAATGGACCTAAATAATGAGTGCAATTAAAGGGCACTGCTTGAAATTATTTGAACTGATTAATTCAAGCACGGTTCCTTAAACACACCTATTACGTAGGGTCAGAAGTTCATAAACTTTGGTCTGTGGGTTGCTGGTAGTCTGTGAGCTCTGTTCAGGTGGTTTTGTGGAAGGCTTGCAGAGCAATGGAGGATCTCTATCCGCAAAGCCTTTCCCTCCCACCCTTCTCTTTTCCAACAACATAGATTCAGTCTGTTTGAACAGGCTAGATTTATCAAGCAGTACCACTGATTTAGATGTCTGGGGTGTTCTCCAACCCATTCAGGTAACTTGCCATACTGTATCACAAGAGGAGGGAACCTCTGCCCTGGGGCCCAATGTGGCCCCCCAAACATCTCTATTTGGCCCTCAAGACCATTCCCAGGCCACATTCCTTGCACCCCAGCCCTGCTCTGCACACTCGTCAAGTGCTCTTGCCTGACTGGGGGGGTAGAGAGGGGTGTGTGAATGTATAGCAACTGGACCCCCTGCAAAGGCAAATTTTATACTCCTTTTCCCAGCCACATTTCCCTCTTGCATTGCCTGGCACTGGCTTATGGCACCCAGAAGGCAATGTGGCCTTGGGCTGCACAAAACACTTTCCCTTCCTTCCTCTAGCAAGTTCTCCCTCCATAAGGCTCTTGGGAAGCCAGAAGGGGGTGAGGGTAGAAGGGGAGGCCTTCACCTTTATCCCAGCATCATCCCTATTCCCCCCCAGAGCTACAATTCACAGAGTGGTTTAACGGCTGATCCCTCTTCCCAATGAACTCTGGAATTGTAGCTCTTGGGAACGGGGGAGGCTTCTATCAACTGTCTGCACCCTTAAGAAACTGCAGTTCCCAGTTTCTGGGGAAGAAGCCATGACTGTTAAAGTGGCACATACTGCTTTCCCTCACGGTCTCCAGTTGCAGAGCCCATTGAGCCTTTCTCCTGCAAAGAGGAAACTGTTCTGTAAGGAATTTGACAGACTTCCTGCACACTCCTCTCTGTCTAGGCAAAGCTCCAGTGGCAGCTATGCAGAGCCGGGCTCCATATTTCATAAACTGATGTATAGGACCCATATTTCATTTAGTGGCACTTCCGTTTCTAGCAAATGACCATTTAATTATGCAGGCAGCTCACCCGTCTCAATTCTCCATTATCTTAACTAAATATTACACCAGATTCATTTTTGATTATCCTCTAAAGCATAATCAAGATACAGGAAAGAATGCATTAGGAGGGGGAGAACCCCTCGATGTGCACACATTCCTCAGTATTCCTTTGTAATTAACGATACCGTTTCACGGGCTTCCCATCAGCAGTTCTGAGCTGTGATCCAGCAGGAGGACAACTCTATTTTAAGCCTGTTCATTTCCATTAGCCTGGCACACCTAACAATGGAAACTGGAATCCAGTGATGCTGTTTTGGCATTGCAGCAAAACATCACAGCTGATGAACTGAGGCCAAGTCACTCATAGCAAGCTGATATATACCAAATCAGAACACTGGTCCCTCCAGCACAGTACCGTCTACACTGATGGGCAGAGGCTCTTCAGGCAAAGATTCTTCCCACCCCTACCTGGAAATGCCAGGACTGAACCCGGGACCCTGAGCTCACCAGCAATAGGCATAGCTTAGCAAGGTGTTCAGCCGCTGCATGCTCAACAGCAGGCATAGGCAAACTCGGCCCTCCAGTTGTTTTGGGACCACAACTCCCATCATCCCTATCTGACAGGACCAGTGGTCAGGGATGACGGGCACTGTAGTCCCAAAACATCTGGAGGGCCCAGTTTGCCTATGCCTGCTCAACAGGCAAGTTGAAGTGAACTCACCTTTACGTTTTCAGTGTGCCTGTGCTAAGTATTTGACAAAACTGCAGCCTCAGTCCAACACGGAGTTGACATTTTGTATTTACGTCTCTCTCCCTCCAAAATTATCCCTCTTCCTCAAGCATTAACATGACCTTATTCTGGTGTATTCAGGTAGGGGATAAGGCCTTTCTTTCAAATACATCCCAGCAACTTCTTTATCATACAGTTCTGTGAGCACAGTAAGCTGGCTTCTTCATACCACTGGTCCACCTAGTTCAATATTGTTTACACTGACTGGCAGCAGCAGCCCAGGGTTGCAGGTAGGGTGTCTCCCAGCTCTACCTGGAGATGCTAGGGATTGAACCTGGGACCTTCTGCATGCCCTACTGCTGGGCTGCGCCCCTTCCCCATTTTGTCTAGGCATCTACCATTGCCTGAAGACTCTGCCCCAAATGTACAGGTAAGTGCAGATTACACCACAATCCTAAACATCTGCTCATGATGCCAACATAGGATCACATTTGGTGATGCTGCATTGGGGCGGTTCTTGATGCAACTCCATCCTAACTCCTTTTTAACTAATGGTGCAAGTACTCCAACAAATCATTAAAGGATCCTCTGATGTTGCAATGGGAACCCAAACTTAGGTACCTGTTCACATACGTATATACATCCAGAGGGCCAGTTTGAATTTATATTAAGCAGCACATACTTCAAACAGACCAGCACAGATGAGATTGCACTCAAGATCACTTAACACACCACGAAGCACAATTTGAAGAGCTCTTTCCCTGTCACACAAAAGTAGGAAAAAGCGCTAAAGGGGTCTCAATTCCTGCCCTCTCCATCTTCCCACCGATGTCCACAGTGATCCTCATCCTACACAGAGTGTAGTGATTGTTCGAGAGTGCTTAATCCACAGTACAGAGCACGGATGGTTCTTGTGTTGTGGCTGTCAACCACCGTCCTCCCAACCTCCTTTTGATCCCCAAAAGTCTGAGTCAACACCCAGGAGAATTTGGGTTGAAGCAGGCTTGCTTAGGAGATGCGTCCCAGTCAGGGAGGTGAGCTGGGTGTCAAGGGAAAAAGGAGGGCCAGCGGAGCCACGAGGCAGAGTGAGGCAGCTGGCTGGTGGAAGATGCTGGGCCTGCGTGCAGGGAGCTGCAGTACAGAGCTGTGTGTCCCACATGGCCTTCCCTGTGCCCCCAAAGCAACCTGACTGTCCCCACGTGTGGCAGAGGGCACAGCGTTTAAGGAAGAATCAACTGTTCACATACAGTCTGGGAGCGGGTGGCGATGTTTTTCTTAGGCTTGAGCCACAAAGGCCACGAAGGTGCACCTTCCCCACTCTGCTCCCAAGCTGGTTCAAAGGAAGACCTGGTCCTCTTGGCAGTGTGTTCCCACCTCTCCCGGTCCCTTACCAGTTGCTGGAAGGCTGGCTGGTCCAAGTCGCTCTGCAAGGCGAAGTCACTGAGTGCTTTCCAGGGGGGCTGATAGGTTTGCACCTCCACTGCGTTCCCCTGCACAGCGCTGTCATGGCGGATTGGGCTGCCGGCCACCAGTGGAGTCCCAGTCAGGCCCTGAAGGCTCTTTTGGAGGAGTGAAAAGAAAGGAACAGTCAGCAAAGACTCAGCCCAACCCACCTGTTCCCAGAGGAAGAATCTGGCAGCAGTGACAGACTTGGATGCATCATCATGTCCCAATGTCACATCCAGCCATGCGCTACAGATCAATAATAGCAAATCACCCCTGGTTCTTTTTAAAAATTATATAGTCACAAGACTTTACAATGAAGCAAAACAATTTCTAAGACTCATATGCTCACAAAGCAATTTATGGAGGTCTCTTCCCACCCCACCCCCAAAATCATCCACGGAAAGGCTAGGGTATCTGCATATGTGTTGTCAGAAACTTTTTCAGATCCATTGCAAGTCACCTCAGGGATCTTGTCAGTAGATCCCAATCTACCTTTTGCTCACCCTTGTGATAAGCCATGCCTACAGATGCTGAGTGTAAAGGGGCTGACTATGGCTGCTCAGTAGCAAGAATTATTGACATGTTCAGGGACAATATCCTGTTTCATATTACTTGGTATTTTGCAAAGCCTTGGACTGAGCCCCACCTCAACCCCACCCCCACCCCACCCCCACTGATACTCAGTTGGAAGGCTGGTGTATTTTGGAAAACCCCAATTTGCAGCTGCTTATGACGGCAAAAGGGATGTACCTCGGTCCTCCAGATGTTTTGAGACTACAATTCCCATCATCCCTGACCACTGGTCCTGCTAGCTAGGGATCATGGGAGTTGTAGGCCAAAAACATCTGGAGGGCCGAGGTTGAGGAAGCCTGGGTTAGGGGAGGAGAATTCTCTTACAAAGTGTTCCAAATCAGGGAAGAATGGACAACAGAAAGAAGTGGAAGAACCCAAATGGGGGAGGGGCTAATCAGCAATTAATCATTAATTAATGCTGGATTAGCCTACAAAATCTGGCAGTAAGGAGGGAGGAGAGTGAAAGAAAGTTTCCCTTTATTCTCCTCCTGTCCCAATCCAAATCCTTTCTAATAACCAAACTGGCTTCACCAGCAATAACATATTTTTCCAGAAGGGCAGCAGTTGGTTTTTCCACCTGCCACAAGGAGAGCAAGTGCTCTTTCCCCTCTCATTGATTTGTGGCAGTAATGGAATGAACATTAGATGATCTGGTTTCTAGAGAAATTAAGCAACACTTCCACCTCTGATGGTCAAGATACGCCTCCTGCCTGCCTTCCTGATCCCACTCCTCTCAAGGCTTTCGCCTCCCCCTCCTCAAACCCCTTACCCAGATCAAATATGCTTCACAGTTATTTACAGGGAAGAGCAAAAAGTTTGTTTATTCACTGGCATTTCTACCCCGCTTTTTGCTCCAAGAAGCTCAAGGTGGTCACATGGTTCTGCCCCTCCTCATTAATGCCCCAAACCAACCCTGCAAGGTAGGCTGGGCTGAGAGGCAGCGATTGACCCCCCAAGTCCACCCAGTGAGATTCACGACCAAGCAGGGGAGTTGAACCCTGCTCTCCCAGTGCTAATCCTAACCACTACGCCACACTGGCTAAATCACATATAGTTTTCTAAAGAGTTTAAAAGGCAAACAAACAAAAGAGGTGGGGGCTAAATTTTGATTCATTTTTCAAACATAATTTTAATATCTTAATTTAATCTATTAAAAGTAATAGGATTTATTTATGATGACATTATCTGCTGGTATATCTGCTGCAGAGCCTTAATTGGAATTATATGGGTGGTGGCACTAACAATTGCTGGGGGGGGGGAGCCAAGAAGCAGTTTAAATTAGCATTATCTTCTCATTCTTTTTAATTTGCTTGAGCTTGCCTGGAAGTTTTGCATGAAACCCAATCAAAAGAGGGTTCTCTCCGGACAAAATCCCTAAGAGAGTCCCTCCCCTCAAGGCTGGAGCTTCCTGCTGTCATTTTCTACAACGCCCATGAACGTGGTTTTGAAGCCAATTAAAAATATTTTGGGGCTGGGGGTGAACCACCAGGGGAAAATGCAATATTTAATGCCACCGGGGTAATTATTAATTAATCAATAATAAAAACAATATGAGTGATGCCGATAACCGTCTCCCGCGAAAACGAAAGCGAAGCGCACGAGGTTGCGAACTCTTTCGCCCTGACCCTGCGCGAGCCTCGCTCTGCTCTCCAGCTCGTCCGTTTCGCGGAGACCCGATGCGCGTCTGCTTAGAAGGAAGGAAGGAAGGAAGCGCCCTGGAGGGCGGCGGGGCCGGGGCCTTACTCCCAGGCAGGCACGTGGCAAAGCCCATGGAAGTCAACGGGCCTGGCCTTAACGTGCAGCCATATATTTCCTCCCTCATCCCTCCCCTCGCCAATTTCACTACAGCCGAAAAGGGACAATTGTTCTAGAAGGGGAAAGCGGGGAAATGGTGGTTGTGGTTTTTTTATACTTCATTTTAACAATAAATGGATGCATTTAGATGGTTTCCCATAACAGTATAGACGGAATGACAAAATCCACCGGGTAATTATTCCACACATTGAGTTATTGCATCTTTCCCAATCATTTCAATGTAGTTTAGGCACAGAGAACCTTTCTGAGAATCCTAATTGTAGAGCTGGGGGTGACCCTCCACTCTTGGACTATGTAACCTTTTTCGTTATAGACTCCTGTGCAGCACCAGTCTGTGCCCGTTTACTCGGACGTTTCAGTGGGGACACGCTCCCACATAGCTGGGCATTGAGCAGCAGCCTTCACAATATTTCTGTCCTACAAAAGCCCTGTAAAATATAGGCAATAATACTGTTCCCTAGATTCCAAGTAAGATTACAGTGGTTTGCCGCGGAGGTGTGGGCAGAAAGACTTTTCCGGCTCCTATATTGAAGTAGCACAAGCCTATCCCCGGCTACTCAGAAGTAAACCCCAATTAAGTGTTCATAGAGGTATTGCTTTAGCCAGTAACAACACAATTTCAACCATGTCTACTCAAAAGTAAGTGTAATCGAATTCAGTGGCCCTTACTCCCAGGTAAAATGGGGTTAGGATTGCACCTGATTTACCTGGGACTCGGGAATAAGTCCCAAGGAACGAAACAGGACTTTCTTCTCAGTGCACACGGCTAGCATTACACTGTTCGTGACACCGGATCTGTTAATGTGCCCCTTTGTGGGTTTGAAGCGCCCTTCAAAAATAGATTATATATTAAAAGCAAAAACATTATTGTTGTTCTATTTTTAAGATGGGGCGGCAAGTTTATTTAATCGGAACTAAACTAATTTAGCAATAGATTTTGCTCTAAAAACACTTGGTTTTTTAAGAACTTTCGATTATTTTAAAAAAAAAATTCACCCGAATACATTTCCAGGGACGCTCTAGAGACACATTGTATTAGGGGGGATATATTTAGAGATCTGGTGTCACGAAACCTTCTCCTAGTCCAGCTTCGAGAAAGGTGGCCTTGTTTAGTTTGTTGTACCAAAAAACGAGAAAGAGTCTTGTGGCATCTTACTGACCAAGGCACTGGCATCTACATAAAGGGTAATCCAAAACACTGCCAAACACACGTGTGCGCGCGTGTCTAGGGGTGTTAAGCAGGAGGCGAGAAGGATCCTAGTGATGTGAAACGCAAAACAAAACAGTTTGCCTTTTAAAACAGTCCGTGGTCCCCCACCTGCTGTGATGAAATTGGAAACCTGTTAATACACGTTTGAGTTTCGCTCCGATTAGACCAGATTATAAGGATGTAGCTTCTACAACTGTCACGTACACAACATTTATCTTCCTACGTCTTCAGATGCCGGCGAGCTGAAGCCTTTCAAAAACGAGAGAGATTGGAGAGAGGAAGGGAAGCCCTGCGCCACTTAAGCCATAGGTGTTCACTGCAGACTGGGCCAATTCAAACCGTCCGCGGATGCAAAGCGTGGGTTCGTGCTGGGGGATCAGGCCTGTCCAGAAGCCAGTTTAAATCCTCTCCCCGAAATCTCTAGGAAATCCTCACCCTTGACTTGGGGACGTGGGTCACTCGAGATGGAGGGGGCCATTTATTTCAGGGAGGGCGACGGCTATTCAGAAGTGCGGAGTAAGGGAAGGGGCACTTACGGCTTTGTCGCTGTGCTGCTGCTGCTGGAGCTGCTTCATGAGGATGGATTTCTTCTTGTCTTTGCAGCGCTTGTTCTGGAACCAGACGCGGATCACCCGCGGGCTCAGGCCGGTCATCTCCACCAGCTGCTCCTTCATGAGCGCGTCGGGCCGCGGGTTGGCCGCGTAGCAGGTGCGCAGCGTGTGCAGCTGCTTCTCGTTCAGCACAGTCCTCACGCGCGTCGTCTTCTCCGCCTGCTTGTGCACGTGTGGACGCAAGGAGGGTTGGCGCCCGGGCACGGAATCTGCGGGGAGGGAAGATGGCGGGAGAGAGAGAGGCTGATCAGGAGGGGGGAGGGAAGATTGCGCCCCCCCCCGGGGAAAGGTTGGGACGCCCGCCCAGCTAGTTCAACGGCGCGCCTTCTGGGGCTCAAGCCGCCCCCATGTCCCAGACTGAGCAGCCCTCTGGGTTACCCTTTGTGGCTTTTAGATGTGTTTTAGTTACAATTTTATTGTGTATGCAGAGAGCGCTTTAAGACGTTCAAAACTATTTCTGGCTATTGTTTCTAACTTATTTTAATGGTCTTATTGTATGGTCTTATATTCCTATTCCTGTAAACCGTAAAATATTTGTATACTTCTGTAATATGATACAGCGGTATACAAATATTTTTATAAAAACTAAATAATTAATAAAGCAATTGTTTTTCCTAGTTCTTCGCAGATCATTAGTTAGTGGACCTGCCGCCTTATACTTTGCGAAGGTCACATTGATACCAAAAATTAACAGCAGCAGCAACAACAACAACGCAAAACTGAGCCCTTTCTCGGAGGGGGGGAGTGACTGGCACCTCAGGACTGGCAGCTCCTCCTTGAGACAGCAGAGGAATTTTACTACGCCCCCCCCCCCCGGGCGCAGTCTAGGAAGAGGCTCAACTCGGGGCCGGAAAGGCAAACGCGGCGTGAAACAAAACAAAACAATATCAACACGCGCAGCTTCTAAACTGCCATTTAGTTGTGCAATAATTGCACACCCCATAACTAAGTCTCTGGGAGGGATTGCCGCCCCCCCCAAAGAAAACGCACCACAAGGTGTCGGGAGACCACTGGGCAGCGTTTGCACGGTCTCCCCGCCGCCACTCGGTTCCCGCAGGTCCGGCCCGGAGCGGCCGCTGGCCTGGAAGGGGGCTCCCGTCTCCCGGCGCCTCTCCGCCCAGCACCAAGGGGCGGCGAACCCGACCCCCGCCGCCGCCCGGAGCCCCGTCTCCTCCTTGGCACATCAGGCAAAGCTTTCCCGTTGAAGATCAAAATAATAATTAAAGAACAGGTTGTGCAAGGAGTTGCTATTCCTGTATTATTATTATTATTATTATTATTATTATTAGCCAAGTCTAACAAATAACCACGAATCTTCTCAGAAAAGGACCGACTTGAAAGAAACATGTTTAAATTAAAATATAGTAGTAGGAGTAGTAGCAATATTATTATTATTATTATTATTAATAATAATAATACTTTCGGCCTTGTCCCCCCCCCGCACACACTCCACAGGTTCTCCAAATAATGTTAAATAATGTCATTTCAAACGCACAAGCCGAGGGTTGGAGAGGGACTGGACAGTCTCAGGAGAGGCTGGGCTTGAATTTCGCAAGGTTTGTCTCTGTACACACACACACACACACACACACACACACACACACAAATATCGATCAGACTGCGCAAAAATCAAGCTACACCAAAGAGAGAGTTTAGACCAATAAATCCGATTGTTGCAATTATTACTATTATTCTATTTTTTATTAAACAAATCCCAAACTAATGTTGGCCTCGAATATTTACGTCCTTTTAAAAAGGTGCGCGTGTGAGGGGGTCGGGCGGGGGGATTTAGCTCAGCAATGACTCAGATGACAGCCCGGCGTTAAAAGGAGACGCATCAGATGTCACACAAAACAGATGTCGGGGGCGGGGGGGGGCGACCGGGCGGCGGGAGAGGAAAGCCGAGACAAACGGAATTGCCTGCACTTTCCGTCCCTGGGAGCCGCGGCCTCCGGGCGAGGAACCGGCTGCAACAGACAGACGCTTTGCGGCAAATGTTAAGAGACGGATTAAAAATGAGTCGTCGTCGTCGTCATCCCACCGCAACGCTTTTAAAACTAAATCATTCATTTATTTATCTGTTTTTTAGATTGCTATATTATTCTAAATCGCGTCTTTGGAAGGTACAGGTACAATGCATCACATGCAGATGATTATGATAATAAAAATAACTAATAAAAAAAAACCTACAACAACTCAATGGTAGTTTCTGTGGTTTGGAGATGAAGAAAGGAAGGAAGGAAGGAAGGAAGGAAGGAAGAGGGAAGGAACTGTCCCAGTGTTAAGGAATTGCCAGCACAATCTTATTATGCATGTATGTCTACTTGGGAGTAAGCCTCACTGTATTGAATTTGGCTTGCTCCCTTGTAAGTGAACCCAACGTCAGAGAACTCGAGGCTGAAATGTTTAATTCACTTACTCGAGAGTAAGCCTCAGGATGGAGCAGTGACATTTCCTTCTGCGTAAACACCAGAGTGTTGCTCAGTTCAGTTGCAAAGCCAGCCTCGCTGTCGGGGGGGAGAGACTTTAGTTCTAAGCAAATCCGGGGAGGTTTGGGCTGTAAGAATAGTAAAAGGAGTTCCCGTGTCTAACTTTTGAAATCTATTTTTGTTCTTGTTTTTGTTTTGTTTTTGTTTTAAAGATGAACGGAAATTTGGTTAGACGCTGTTCCCCAAATTTTGTTTCAAACCTGATACATGGGCTCTGATTAAATCGAGAGTAAATGAACAGCATCAATGTTTTGAGGGTGAGAAGGGTAAAACAAACATATTTTCTTCTGTTTCTAACCCCGCCTCCTCCCCTTAATCACTTAAGATCCCAGGACAATTTGCAAAAATTACATTAAAGCAATAAATTTAAGTAGCCCCTGTGAAAAGCAATTAAAATCCCAACATTCTAAAAGAGTGCGTACGTATGTATGGTATACATTAATTCCGAAAACTAACCGTGGGATAATACTGTCTTTATTAGGACTAATTCAACAGTCACAAAGGAAGGAATCCCCGTGCTGTTGAGCTGGGATTTCCCCCGCCCCGCGTGGAGAAATAGAGTTATCTGAAATTTAATAAATTAATTGAGTGCGAGACACAACTTTCTGTTTACACCGCGATCCTGTTTCCTGAAGAAGCAAGTCCCCCACCCCATTCCGCGGGACTTGCCTGCCTGGCAACTCGAATCAACTCTGCTTGGGGGTTTAGGTTTGAAAAGAAACTTTGCTGCCGGCTGCATGCGCGCTCTCTTCCGCGGCCCCCTTTCTCCACGGAGTGGCCGAGGGATGCGTTCCCCCAGTGGGTGTGCGAGAGAAACAGGGTTACTTTGCCTCCACTCCGAGGCTGGCAGAGACGTCGCTCAGAAGGGAAGCCTCCTGCCCAGGCCTGGAGGGGTATATTTTATCTGGTCCCACTCTGGTTTTCCTAAAAAGCCCTCAGCTGTGAAGACTGGGCTGTCCAACGAGGACGAGAACCAGCGCCTTCAACAAAATCTGGAAGCTCTCCCCCTGTATTTTGGACCTCCCTGCCTATATTGTTATTCACGTGTGTAAGGGGGGGGGCTAGGACCAAAGTTTGCCACTGGGAGAGACTGGAGGAACGGGATTCAGACAGAATCCATTCACCCAACACTCCTACGTCTGTGTGCCCACCATTTAAAGCAGACACACACACACAGCCCGCAAATGATCTGGGAACTGCAGTGCTTGGATGCACTGAACTACAGTTCCCGGGGTTCTTTAAATGTGTCGCACTCACAGTACATTCCCTAGAAGTGAGCAGGATCTACTTTCTTCAAAGTATTGACTTTGGGGTGGGGGGTCAGTGGGTTCACCATCACCTCCGCAAGTCTTCTCTGTAGGTTTAAAAGAGGCTAACTGAACAAAGCAAGATTAAGTGCGGGGGGGGGGCGGGGGGCTCCCATCAGACCAGAGCTGGAGAGTATCAAAAGTTTGGGACATATACTCCTTCCTAACTCTGGATAAGTGGCAAGATTCTCTCCATTTCCCCCAGGGATGTTTTGGAGTCCCCGCCCTGGCTGGCGCGGTCTCTCCCAAGCAGAAAAGGGCAGAAGACGGGGGGAACGGGAGAGGGAGGGTTCCTCCTTTTATTTTCTCTGTCCTACTCCATTTTGCAAGCGCTTGGGGGCAAAGGATCTTCACTATTTGGTTCGCCGACTGGGGTACTTTCACGCCTCCCCTGACCTGTTGATGACAGCAGAAGTGATTGCATTCGGTCTCCTAAAGCTAAATCCATCTGTTCGTCTGAGAGGAGCCTCAATACACGTGTGTGTAGAGTGCATGGGTGGATCCAGAAAGGGTCTGCTGTTTGGAAAGACTCCTAGGACAGAAAGAGTTCCGTCGGCTGTTGCGGAGGTTGGGAAAAGAGAAGGCGGGGAGGCTAGAAGATGAAGTGCGGAAGGGCGGGGGGAGTTGTGGACAGAGAAAAGAGAGAATCAGAAACGAAGGAACAGAGGGGGAAAGTGAGAAAGGAGTCAGGGCGGAGGGAGGGAAGGAAGGAAGGAAGGAAGGAAGGAAGGAAGGAAGGAGCGTTAGCTGAGGTTTCTACATTGCAGGGGGTTAGATGACCCTGGGGGTCCCTTCCAGCTCTCCAGTTCCCCGGTTCTCTGCTGGGGCGCCGCCTACCTGCGAGCTGGAGGCCCTGCCGAGCGCCTTGGAGGTGTCCGGGGCTGCGCGGGGGGCTCTCGGCCGACCCGGCCCGGTCGACGAGGAGGCTGTGGTCGGCGCGGCAGAGCAGCTCGTGGTCCCGCAGCGAGAACTCGTCTCCCGGCAGGAGCTGCCGGCTGCACACCGAGCAACGGAAGCACTCCAGGTGGTAGACGTTGTCCCGGGCGCGCATCACCAGGTCGCTGCTGCTGAAGCCCGACGCGCACTTGGCGCACTTGATGCCGAAGAGCCTGCGGGGAGGGGGGAGGGGGCAGCCGTCAGCGGGGGGGGGGGGGAGGGAAGGGGCACCACGGGCTCCGCCACCCCTCGCAAACCCCCCGCGGCCTGGCAGGGACTAGGTGGCCCTGGGGCCCCTTCCGGCCCTCCCATTCTGTGGTCCCAGGGCGGCCCAGGGAGGCTCAGGTGAGCGGCGCGGGCTACACCGCAGTTACCCCCGCAACTCTTCCAGGCAGGACCCTGGCGTTTCCCTCCGCTCATTTAACGACAGGCAGCAACAAGAAGGAAAGGACCAGCCCTGGCGGCCTCTTGGAAGGCTGCTATTAGGGATACTCTAACGCTATCCGTAAAGGTATCCATCGTTAAGCATTTGAAGATTTGTAAGCTCCTCGAGGCGGGGACCTAGGCTGCCAAAGCCGCGAAATTAATAACGGGCAACTTCAGCTCGGCAGCTCTTATGGTATACTATGATGAATAACGATTCAGATTTCAAGTCTCTTCAGACTGAGACCTAAGTTGCAGATGAGTGGTGCCAAATTAAGAATAATAAAATAAGAAGAATCGGCCTCTCTCGGACTCAGTTACGGAGAGTCCGTTCCGCCTTCCCATTGGCACACTGGTTCTTAGCCGTCCTTCTTGCCAAGCTGGCTTTGGGGTTTGCTTTAGGGTGCCCAGGAATTTGTCAGGCCGGCATGTCTGACCCAGGCAAAGCTTGGCACAGCGTAGATCGGAAATGAAAAAAACAAATAAGCGGCACCGCTTAGGATAAGCTGGAGCAATATAAGAAAATTAAGCCACATGGGGGGGGGGTTGGACTAGATGACCCTTGGGAGCCTTTCCGACTCTACAAATCTATGAAATCCCCCGCTTTCCCTCCCTCCGAACTCTATGTGAAATGTCTGGCTCTTGTCGCATCTGTCGGGTGGGAAACCACCAAGAGAGGATTGTGAAAAATGAGGCTTCCACAGGCGAGTCTTTCTCTGGACTTCCGGCCGTCCTGAGTTCAAAGACCAAAAAGACATCCCTCCATCCTCTGTGGCCTGAAATCCCCCCCCCCCCGCAAGCAAGATTTCAACAACATAGAGAAGAGAGGGTAGGGGGAGAAGAAATTTGCCAAAATAAAGCAAACATTTGCAAACAATTAATCGAATAAATAAAAGGGGGTTGTGTAACAAAAAAGGCTCCGAAGAGGAGGAAAGAAAACGAAAGGGAAGCGGGGGGGGGGGCAACTGGATTTGCTAGGCGTGTTTTTCCTTCCGCTCGGTGGGCGTCCCGCTCCGAGAGGGGGAGGAGGTAATCATCACCTGATATAATCCCTTTTACAGTACGTTTTGCCATCTCTCACAAAACAAGTGCAGGTCTCATCCAGATACTGGCTACAATCCGCGCATTTCAGGCACGCCGCGTGCCACTCCAGGTCCGGGGAGACCTTCAGGATGTACTGGTCGTGGATTTCGCTCCCGCAGCCCACGCACATGGCAATCCCGGGTTTCTCTGCCGGTGGAAAGGAGCAAAGGACACTAAGAACGGACAGAATCTCTCATCAGGACTTTCTGGAAAGGGGGGCGGGAAACAAGTTTTCTTTTTAAAAAAAACAATCAGTCTAACACCAAACAAAATCAATCCGTATAATTTAACCCCAAATCAGGCACCGGTGACTACAAGAGGTTTGGGTGCTGCGGCGGCACCTCTTTTATAAATCAACGCCCCAGCAAAGCAGGGGGATAAAAAGAAGAACGGAAGAACTCGGGGAATTTTGCATCTTTGACTTTCCCGTATAACTTTGTTTTCCGACTGCACCGCAGAAAATAAAAGCAAACGGCCACGTATTTAATACGCCCAGAATAAATGAAGAAAACAGAAAGAGAATCTGGGAATCTTTCCATGACTTCGTTGTATTATCATAATTGCTATCTTTATAGTTATTGCTAATTCTCCCTACAGTTTTCTGGAGGATCGTTCAAGTGTTGGGCGACAAGCCCCCGAATAAAAACATGCTCGTTTAAAAATAAACCAGCAGCAAATTCTGCAACTGCCAGGTTTTGATAAGAATCCAGGAACGACAAGGCAAGCGGCGGCGTAAAGGAGAGGGGGAAATTTATGCTTATAAATGCATATCTATATATAGCCGTAGATATATAGATGGAACCCTTTTAGAATATTTGTTATGTTTGGCCATCTCCCCGCCCTCCGCGAGAGGGGTTTGCAAAAGCGAAGCCCCTCGCAAGAAACCACATTCCAATGCACCCAAACCTTTACGCGCAACATCCCGACCAAGGAGAGAGAAAGAACTGGAGCCACTTACTTTTGGAATGATCCCCCATAGCACCCGGGAAGGAATCAGGGAAAAGAATGTCCACCATGCAGAAGGCGAGGCGGGGAAGCGCCAGGCTTCGGGAGGGGCGGGGGGTCCACGCGGGCTGCCCAGCCCCACCGCCGGACGCTGCCCAACTAACTCCTCCAGCCCCGCCGCGCGGGGAGGGCAGCGCTCCGGCCAGACGCAGCATGACGTCAGCACGCCGCGGACCACCCCCCGTCCCGGGGGCGGGGCGCTGACCTCACCCAGCCGCTCCCGCGCCCCGCAGGCCATTGGCCGGGAGGACGGCGGCCAGCGCGGATTGGCCCGCCGTGAACAATGGGACGCCGAAGGCGCGGGCGCCAAGTCCCGCCCGCCGAGCCCGGGGCGGAGATCCCAGCGGGGCTCCCCCTCCGCCTCCCCCCCTCCCCCTCGCTCGCGCTCTGGCAATTCAAAAACGCCCCTCGGACGGGCAGCCCGGGAGCCAGCCGCGAAAGGGGCTTCTTCTCGGCAACCCCGTCGAGTTGCCTCTTCGCCCCCGGCGCCTCCTCCTCCTCCTCCCCCCCGTCGGAAGGGGCCTCGCTCCCAGGCGCCCCTCCCCGGGGCAGCTCCCGGCCCGAAACCCCGGAGCCTCCTGCCCGGGAGAAGGAGGCGGGCGCCGCGGGAAGGGGCCCAGGACTCTTCGGGCGCCGCGGGCGGGACTGCAGGCGTCACCTGCGCGATCCCCTAGCAGCATCCTGACCCAGAAGTAAGTCCCATCCAGTCCAGACGGACTTCTTCCCTCCCTGCGAAGCGGGCTGGGCAGCCCGGGCTGCTGGGGAATCGGCGTGCCCGGGATGGCGCTAGGAAGCCTGGAAAAGTCCATGTTTTTCTTTCGTATTTTCTCTTCCCCATTTCCTTCCCTAGACAAATCCTGGCATATTTTCTAGATTTCTTGGTGTTTTATCCCAGTTCATTTACTGTGTTTTTAAAATCGCAACTTTCTCCCCGCTGCTTACTTGACCCGTGGAAATGGTTAAACTCCTGTCATGTTGCAGCCTCGGGACTCGGAGAAGCGCAACAATCCGCCTAGGAAATTTGTTTATTTTTTTCTCCCCCCGGTAAGCCGGTCAGCCTTATAAGAAACAGAACTACCCGCAACTCCACGTGTTTCAAACGTTTCTTGAGTTTGGAAACACGTTTCCGAAGAGAAGGTTCCTTCCTTTGGATTTTTTTTTAAAAACCTCTGTGTTTCTTTTTAAAATCCGTTAATTAAAAGTGGCAGGAATAAAAACCTTGGGAATGTTTTGGATGTTATTTTATTAACAATTAAACCGGATGCAACTCATCCCTAATTTTATTCAAACGAAAGGTTTCTGATTTCAGTTCACTTCTCTCGAACCAGAAGCCTTTCGGCTCTCCTGGTTTGCGAGGCGCCAGAAATTAATAGACACAAGGCTCCTAACAGAGCTAATTCCGTGACCTCCTTTCCATCTATTTAAATCTTTTTCTCTCCCCACATCTTTTAAAGAAAATAGTGGGGATGTGGCGTGTGGGAAAGGGACTTTCTAGCATAGCCAGAAGCTGTTTCGATGGTCATAGACACAAAGTAAATTTGGTGACAGAAATCGTCTTTAGTTGGTAGCGCGTGCAGGTTTTATTATTACACAGAAATCTTCGTCAGGCAAACCAGAAATTTAGTGAAACATTTGAACTTTTAAACCAACTGAAGTTGTTTCGATAAAATCTACACCAGCTCAATCCGTACTAACGAAACTATTGCCCAGAACTGCTTGGTAGAGTTTTCCTTCAAGGAGTGGGCTACCTTGAGGTCTAGCCGCTTTATTGAGTATATATTTAGTATTTATAGTTTTGTAGAACAGCATTATATTGTTATATTAGGATAGGATTACACTTGTTTGGTATTATGCATGCCTATGCGTGCTCCTCTGAAATCCGTGCAGCTTACTCCCAGGTATAGGAAGGCATCAAGATGTGAAATACGTTTTAAAAAAAATAATGTTTGTTTCTCCCTCCTCTTCACATAATGGTATCGACAACTCTATATTTTAATAGGACATAACTCCCACATATAATTTACTGATTTCAAAACATCTTAAATTATAAATTAATATTACCATTATCCATAAGGTTAGGAATAGTCAGAGTGCATATTCAGGCCACATGGCATATATATACTCTGGGTTTTTTGCGGGCGCCTGCCCGCCCCCCCCCAACCCCGCAGGGTATTCCGAGGAGGCCCTCTCCCCTCCGCAGGGACCAATTGGCGCCGGTCGTGTGGACGCCCCGATCGGACCGTGGGCGAGTTCTTCTCCCTCCTGCCTTTCACTCGGGCGCAACAGGGAGCTCTGCCGGGAGGACGGCTCCGGCGCCCCAAGCGGGAAGCAGCCGCGGATCCGCCCAGCAAGAGCCGGGAGGAGCAGCTCCGAGCGAGGGAGCCTCCTGCCTGGGGAGCCGGGCCTGGGGAGCGGAGGAACAAAACGGCCCGCAACTAAGCAGAGATGAACCTGCTGCTGCTGCATCAATTTGCATTTTTAAGTTGTTGCAGCCTTAGGATAAAAGGCGGATATGAATGAATTGAATGTTCGGACACAGGGCTCACCTCTTGACCCCCCTAGCCAAAGCTCAAGCAGGATCTGCAGGTAGATCTCTAGGTGATTTGCAGTATTGGCAAAAGGGTTTTGCTTCTATCTGGTTCTCCCCCTCCTCACCTGAATCCCCGCAACAACCCTGGTTCGGCTGAGAGGCACCGCGCGCGCTTGATTGCGGAGGGGAGATTTGAACCCTGGTCTTTCCCAGGTCCTAGTCCCTCACCAACCACTACACCAAACTGGCGCCCCATAACAGAGGCCTGTCAGTTTCCCACAAGAGCCAGTCAGGCCAGGGGGCGACAAAAGCTGGATCAGGACCTACAAGTGATTTGCAGTATTGGCAAAAGTTCTTATTCTGACCATATTTACCACTGTGTTTTTTTTGTTTACCATCTTTATATCATGTCTTTTCTCCAAGGAGCTCAAGGCAAGTATTTTTAGTGGCTGCCTCTCCTCCCACCCAATAAAAGCAAGGATAGGAGATCACCTGTGATTTGTGTACTTCACCCCTCCCACCTTTAACAACACTCTAGATCCCTCATCTTCACATTTCCTGCCCTGAGCTATCCTCTTCCACTTCTACCAGCCTACCTCACAGGGTGGTTTTTTTGGAGGGGGGAGGGGGTTGAAAGTGGCCATGACTTTTATTGGTTACAATAAATAATAGAGACACAGGCTTCCACAATTTTACTTCTGTTGTTGTTGTTGTTGTTGTTGTTGTAACAAAGTAATAATAAATAAATAGAAATAGAAATGTGCACCCCACCCCTTGGACCATTCCATGATAACTATCTCTCTAACAAATACCTTCCATATCTCCTCAAAATCATTTCTCCTACATATTCCCCATCTTACCTTAATAGCACATGTTAATTTATCATTAATAACTATATCCCACACCTCTTTATACCATTCTTCCATTTTATATTCACCTTGTCCCTTCCACTTCCTAGCTATAATAACATGTGCAGCTGCCAATACATTTGTGAGCAAGTCCTTCATAGCCTGCGAATCTTCCACCACATTGTAAACTGATAAGAATGCTTCCTCTGGACTTTCGGTCAGCTTTAACCCTGTGATTTCTGTTATCTCCTTAAATAGGTAAAGGTAAAGGTACCCCTGCCCGTATGGGCCAGTCTTGCCAGACTCTAGGGTTGTGCGCTCATCTCACTCTATAGGCCGAGAGCCAGCGCTGTCCGCAGACACTTCCGGGTTACGTGGCCAGCGTGACAAGCTGCATCTGGCGAGCCAGCGCAGCACACGGAACGCCGTTTACCTTCCCGCTGGTAAGCGGTCCCTATTTATCTACTTGCACCTGGGGGTGCTTTCGAACTGCTAGGTTGGCAGGCGCTGGGACCGAACGACGGGAGCGCACCCCGCCGCAGGAATTCGAACCGCTGACCATGCAATGGGCAAGTCCTAGGCGCTGAGGTTTTACCCACAGCGCCACCCGCGTCCCTATCTCCTTAAATACCCTTTGCCAAAAAGTTTGTATGTATTTACACCTCCACCACATGTGAATGTAAGTCATCCTGGCATCCCCTCCAACATAACGCCAAATATTCCTTGTTTAATTGATTTAATGGTGTGAAGTACCATCTCCATACTAACTTGTAGTAATTTTCTTTTCTCTACCCAATCCTTTATTTTAAGTATTTTCTTCTTTTTCGCTTTTTCAATTTCCTTTTTTTCAATTTACTGGGAAATCTTCTATCACTACCACCAGAGTTAGTGGGGAATTTACTGGTACCAAATTTCCTTTATATTTCGCCCATATCTCAATAATGTTTCTTAATAAGGGATTTTCAATATTCTGCCACCATTGCCTATTTGGTTTGATAAAAAATATATTCCCTAATTTCTCCCTCATTTCCTGTGTACCACTCTCACTCTCCTTGTTATATTTTCCCATCTATAATATATCTTAACAGATTTGCTATATAATATAACTTTATGTTGGGGAGACCCAGTCCACCTATTTTCTGGGGTTTATTAATTCTGGGTTTATTACCCCAGTTACAAAATCTTTTGATCATATTTTGCCAGCCCTTTAGCTCTATGTCCGATATCTTAATTGATAACATTTTAAATAAAAAAAATATTCTAGACAAAATTTTAATTTAAATTATCACTATTCTTCCAAACCATGAAAGCCTAACTTTCTTATATTCCTCCAGCTTTTCCTTAATTTCACTCTTTAATTTTTCTCTTGTTCTAAATTTTCTAAGTTTCTTGTTCTATTTATTCCCAAATACTTTATTACATTTCTTAGTTTTATATCTATTTTTTTCCTTAAATTTTTTTCATTTTTCATCTTTGTCATAATTAAATATAATCATCTCTGATTTGAATCAATTAATTTGCAACACTGTTATTTCTCCCCAAAAAAATCCAAATGTGTTTCTATTACCTGCATATTTTCCAGTGGATTTTTTTTGTTAGCAAGGTATCATCTGAAAATAAGCTTATTTTCTCA